TTCATTTTGACACATCTGGGGGTCAACATTGAGCCACGCCTTCTCCGTCTCGGAGATAAGGAGCGTACTTACTGAAGATCTTGGTTGTAGTGAGACTTGTTAGCATACCAACGAGAAAATGAAAGCGGACAGATGGGAAATAACGCGAAGAGTAATCAGTGGTTCAAGAATAAACCTATATTTAGGCCTCTGAAGAAACGTAAAAGGTTGAAACGGAAGGCTAAATGAAGGCTCTAGCTAACAACCTCGCCTGACAAAGTAAACGTAATTCGGCTTTACAAAGTGTACGTGTATCCTCTATCCAAACAAAACATCCACACACCTGTTTCACTGGGCTGTGATCATGCCGAGCACCTGATGACTGTTGTTGATGACCTGGAAGAGGCGGTAGAAAAGTGAAATCGTTGCTGTCGTTCATTGTGTGAGTGATGCGGCGTACTGCTGGTGATTCAGGCACCTGAATTCATTGAATGAAGCCATTGATAATATTGACACAAAGTAGATGCTGGGGAAACTGATGGGTTGATTAGAGGCTCCCAAAGTCCACCTCGGTGCAGTTAGGCGACGGAGAGGGGGGGGCATTTGCACTTTCGCTGCTTCACTAGTTCCGGTTTACAAGTCTCACTCTGGTGAAACTTGTGAACTCTTGTGAAGCTGAAGCAAGCTCGTCGAGCCACCACGGCGAAACTTGTCAATTGCAAGCTCATGAAATGAATCTTATGATGAGTTACAACAACAGTTGACAGGTGGCCTCTACGAACTTCGGTTGTTATCACTTGCTGGCTTTACAAAATTTCACAGGTCTCTACCTGATGGCTCGACACATCGATGGGAAGCAGCATAATTGCAAAATGCCCCCCCCCCGTCGCCAAACTGCGTCCAAAAGTTCAAATTAATACATCGTCGAGACAACCACCTTGACCGTTCGTCGCGTTGGCTGCGGGCTTTCCAGGCGTGACGCTGATCCACGAGAAGGTAACGGCGATGCAGAAGAGGATGGTGATTGTATCATACGACGAACAACCATTGGCGAAGCAGCATCAAGTATCCTCTTGGAAGGACTTGTGACTGGAGGTTGGTGGAGGAATGGGTGGTTGAAAAAGTCCTCTGTAAAAAAAATCAGTAGGTTATCTGGAAAATCAAATACACGAGGAGAGGAATATTCTCACAACAATGCATCCAAAAACTTGATCCCGAATCTTACCAAACGTTATACGATCCTTGGCATTCCTTTTCAATAGCCGTAGTAGGAGATCTCTCAACGCTGGTGAGCAATAGTCAGGAATATTCGGCTTCAGCTCCCGATTTTTCTCATAGTAAGCCTTCAACTGCGGAGGATTTTGGGCCTTAATAAATATTAGGTTAAATCTCTTCCTTGTGATTGATGAATTAAACTAATGTCAACTGACACATTCACGAAGAGCGCATGACAAAAACAAAACAACAACAAAATGACAAAAGCCGAATCAAACCTGAAATGGCGCTTTTCCCGTCAAACATTGGAAGAGTATGGTACCAATGGACCAAAGGTCGGCTTTGGCATCATACTGTAGCGACATAATGACCTAAAACATGGGTTATATTTTCAGAAATGACATAGGGCAAGCAACTGCGGCCCAATGGCGAAAAAAGTACTGTGGTCCCTAGAGAAATAACAGAACTGGTAAAAAAAACTGCAGACACTAACCTCAGGAGCCATATACATAGGAGATCCACATAACGTCGCCGCCATAACTCCTTCAGAAAGAAACCGGGCAAATCCAAAATCCGCCAATTTGATGATGAGCTCACTAGCCGGAGGATTTGACTGTCGTGTAGGGTTGCATAGTAAGATGTTCTGGGGCTTGAGATCACGATGGACAATGCCTTCCTTGTTGATAGCTTCCAATGCTCGGGCTAAAAAGATCCATGAGTTGCATAAAAATCATAGAAAGGACCATCGTTGAAGAGGACCACCGCATTCACTTAATGGCGCTTATTCTACATCCAGTAGCATTAACAGCTCACGAAAAAGGCTTTTAAAACATTGTTTGAGATTTTCTTGTTGGCGGAGCCAGAAAACGACGTCATTGGCGCTGTTCTCTTCTGAAGGAGGAGCAGGGAGTCAAAGATG